GGGGCGGAGGCGGGAGCTCGGGGGGGCACCGGGCGGTGTCACAGCCTCCCGGGGCTCCGAACCCCGCCGCGCTGCGGGGCCCCCAGCCCGGTGTGTTGGCCCAGCCTGAGCTCCCGGGGCCGGTCGGAAGGCTGACAGCGAGGATCCGGCGTTTGCAGCACCCCGGGACCGCAGCTTCAGCCCCTGGCCACCGCCGGCCGCGGTGTTCCCGGTGCCCCCCGCCTGCCGCGGTGCCTACCTGTAAATCTGCTCCTCGTTTCGTGCGAGGAGTTTTCTTCGTGTCTTTTGCGCCCCTCGGCCCACGTAATCTGCTTCCTGCGCGCTGCTAAAAACGGTACTTTGACCTTTCAGCATCAAATTATCTGCTGGCAAATGCTTCGGCTTTTAAATAAAAGTGTGGACTTTTTATTTCTTTGTTGGATACAAACATTAGCCCAAATACTCTCCTTCCGTGATGGCTTTGAAAAAATGCATCCTCCCTTTGGGCTGTTCAGAAGGATTTTGCTTCTGTGTTTACTACCCAGTGATACCGTACATGGCTCTGCCTCCCAGTACCAGTGCGATCATGTGCATCCCTTTGGCCAGTTGGTTTCCACGTGCAATCCGAAATCTGCTCTGTTACCCTACATCCTTTTTTCCTCCCATTTGGCCTTTTGCCCTCAGTATTTACATGCAGTTTCCATCGTATTTTTTAAGCTATGCCCAGTCCACATATATTAGTGGTATCCTTGGTAGTCTGCAATTCTCATGTTTCTGGACTACTCTCCTGCAATTCCCTTGTGTACACTCCAGAATGGCTGCCTTTTTAGTTGGTAATTGAAATGCATTAGCATATCCAAAAACCTTTCCCACAGTTTAAGGTGCTACATCCAAGATAGCTCCTTTACCAGGCCTTACTAAACAGCTACTGTTATTAACAGAATATACTGTTTCAGTTGCAAGGGACAGACAACAGTCACCTAATCCACCTGCCTGACTGATTCAGGACTGATCTCAAGTTAAAGCATGTTATTAACAGCATTGTCCAAATGCCTCAAATACAGACAGGCTGGGAGCATTGACCACCTCTTTAGGGAGCCTGTTCCAGTGTTTGACCACCCTGTCAGTAAAGAAATGCTTTCTCATGTCCAGTCTGATCTGTTCATAGAATCACTAAGTAGTTCTGGTTGGAAAAGACCTTTAAGATCATTGAGTCCCACCATAACCTACTTCCACCAATCATTAATCTAAACCTACCAAGTCCAGTGCTTAAACCATGCTCCTAAGCACCACATCTACATGTCTTTTAAACACTCTCAAGGATGGTCGTTTATCCACCTCCCTGGGCAGCTTATTACACAGCTTAATTATAATTTCAGTGAAAAAGTTTCTTATAATATCCAGTCTACATTTCCCCTAGTGCAATTTGAGCCCATTGCCTCTTGTCCTTCCTGTTCTGTTTGTTACTTGGGAGAAGAGACCGACCCCCACCTCGCTACAACCTCCTGTCAGGTAGTTGAGGAGAGCAATAAGGTCTCCTCTCAGCCTCCTGTACTCCAGGCTGAACAACCCCAGTTCCCTCAGCTGCTCCTCATAAGATTTGTTCTCTAGACCCTTCACCAGCTTTGTTTCCCTTCTCTGGACTCACTCCAGCACCTCAAAGTCTTCTTGTAGTGGAGGGACCAAAATCGAGCACAGTACTTGAGGTGCAGCCTTACCAGTGCTGAGTATAGGGGGACAATCACCTCTCTAGATCTGCTGGCCTCACCATCATCATCATCGAATCATCATAGAATGTATTGGGTTGGAAGAGACTGCTAAAGGTCATCTAGTCCAACGTCCCTACAATAAGCAGGGACATCTCCAGCTAGAACAGATTGCTCAGAGCCCCATCAAGCCTGTCCTTGAATGTCTCCAAGGATGGGATCCCCACCACCTCTCTGGGCAACTTGTTCCAGTGACCCACCACCCTCATATTAAAGAACATTTTCCTAAATGTCCAACCAAAATCTACCCTTCTCAAGGTAGAAACCATTACCCCTTGTCCTGTCGTTACATGCCCTAGGGAACAGTTCTTCCCCAGCCTTCTTATAGGCTCCTTTCAGGTATTGGAAGGTTGCTGTATCTGATACAAGCCAGGAATCAGGGAGGTATCAATCAACACCCCCAGGTCTTTCTCTGCTGGGCAGCTTTCCAACCACTCTTCCCCAAGCCTGCAGCATTGCATGGGGTTGTTGTGGCTCAAGTGCAGGATCCAACACTTAGCCTTGTTAAATCTCATACAGTTGGCCTCATCCCATCCATACAGCCTGTCCAGATCCCTCTGCAAAGCCTAGCCTCTTTTAGGCTCCCTTCTGTGTGGTTTTTTTATTTATTTTTTTGTTTGTTTGCCTGTTTTTAATTTCCCTCTTACTTAACTACAGATAGGGATGACAACAAAGAATGCCATGCCAAGGAATTGCTTGCACTTCAGGCAAACCCATCACGTGATTGTAATTCTTATTTATTGAAGTTGTGTCTCAAAACCTTTAAGGAGTTTGGTACCTGTCTCCTAAAAAGACCAGCAGTGTACATTGCTAGAACAAGACTTGGACAAAAGTAGGGTGGAACAAAAGTAATGTTCCTCTTGCTAAACACGAGCAGTAGCTCTCAGGGCACTGTAAACAGGTGGGAAGAGAAAAAATAGAAAGAGATGAAGTCTCACAATGGATCAACTTTGAGGAGGAAATGTGGGACAATGATAATTAACGACAGTATATTATGCAATAAGATGAGTCACAAACACACATTTTGTTAATGTGCTAAACAGGAGCAGCGACAAAGACAACTGTATGATAGGCTGAGTGACCTCTCTCCTTGTTTCATGCCTTCATGCCCTGGGATCCATGCTGCATATGAGTTGTATTATGTTCTAAGTGCAACTAAAATATATATGGGTTGATGTGAAGCTGAAGACAATTCAATGAGTCTGCTGGGCTTGCCTAGGAAGGAAGAGATCTTGTTCACTGTTTGGAAATATTTTCCTTACTTTTTCATTGTCTGTGATTCTGACTATGATCTCTGTATGAACACGGGCAAGTAAGTAATTCTATTTGTCTGCTTTCAAAAGTCTACTTACACATTATCATTCACTATCTTCTTTTTAAACATGATTTTGATATGATAGAATGACATTTCTTGTAGTTATTTCTTTTCCTAGGGACTTCTTCACCAGTGGAGATACAAATGGAATTTCACACGGAAGAGACACTGAAGGAGACAGAGGAAAGATATTCTACCCATGCTTACCTAGAATAAGAACAGAGATTCAAGAATTTCTCCTCCGGATGCCCTGTCATACAAGAGCAGGGAAGGATCGAGAAAGAACCCTGATCTAGATACTCTGGATTTTTCTCAGCATTTGCTCAAATATTAAGGTTTTGGCTGTACCCCTTCTTTATGACCTGTTCCCCTTCCCTTGTGACTTTGCAAGTGAGCAACCCGTTGTCCCCTGCCTGGGCTGTGTCAGCGGAGGGCACTCTAGCACTGCTACTAGATTTCTCAGCATTTTATGCCTTTTCCCTTTCACTGCACTTTAGAAATGACCTTCAGATGATTTAGACGCAGACCAGTTGGAGCGATTTGTGATTGCTCACATTTTTAGTGTAGCTCTTTGCACATAACCATCTTGCCATATATCTTAACTATTTGCAAGTGCTGGCTTCATTCCTATCACCACTAGTACAATTTGCTTGTGCTCTGGCTTATCGTATAGCAGTCAGGGAAAGGAAAAAGGGAAAGGCAGTATTTAAAAAGTCTGTAGAAAGCTGTGCTGCATACAAATGTCCTGTTGGATAGACACAAATACAATTTATCTGCAAATAGTTATTTTAGGATGGGCTCCTGTTTAATTTTAAGTTTACAAATACAAGAATCATGCAGCATTTGAATTTACTAGAATATTTTCTAATATTTACTGTGTGAAAAAGAAGTCAGAATCAACTATGTTCAGAGTTATCTTCTGATTTCTTGAAGGAAGTCTGGAGCCAGCTGCTGTGACAGTGAAGTAGGCAAAGTTTCTGGAGAGTTTTATTCCTAGAGTCTCAGAGTAGTATCAGGTAGACTAAATCTATCCATAAAATCAGACAGTTTGGGTCACTGATTGCTGAAACAGAAGAGTTGCAAGAAACTCTTTAAAAATGCTGTGATGCACAAGCTGGCTGATGGTCTGTTACACCAGCTTAAAGAGGCCACTTTTATGAGGAACCTTATGAAGATTCCACTCTTTGTAATCATTGCTTGTGCCATCCAAATGTGTGAGTCATTTTCATTCAAGCACCCAAACTCTACTATTTTCTATATGACTTAATGGTGGAGAAAAAAGGTACAAAACAAAAGAAATCACAGAAAAACATATTATGCTGAGCAAAAATCATTGTGGAGACTTAGCTTTAGATGGAATATTTGATCAAGGATTTGATTTTCAGTCTGAGGCTTTAGCTGGCATAAAAGAAGTCTTGCTAACTTCAGGTCTTCTGAATAAATGCACAGCTCAAGGACTGTAACCAACATGGAGATTCTTTCAGAAATCATTTCAGGAATACACTGCAGGCAGAAAACTTAACCAGCTACTGACATCCCGCTAAGAAGCAGAGTTGATGAAAGGGTATAGTTATCTACAGAAACTTAATATTTCAGATATTCCTAATTCTTATTTCAATTTGATCTTTTGCACTTGTGGATCCTCTCTAGATGCCACTAGAATAATGCTGCTCTTGCTGAAACTAACTGATCAGCACAGAAATATTTCTCAACTGTTATCATTAAAGAATCTGGCTTTGGAAAGTGAATACACAAAAAAATCAGAAAGCATCACAGAAAAAGAAGTCTTACATAAAACTGATGACATTTTTGTGGACTGTGTCATTAATTTATTTTATGAAAGTTCTTCAGAATCAGCATTGAGCAGAGATTTTAAAGGGTTGTGGTTTTTTGTGATAGAAGTATTTACATTAGCACTCAAAATATCCCAATTTAATTATCTGACTTTGTAGATACTTACTAAATTGTGTTATTCTACTAGGAATAATTAAGTTAGATGTTTTTGGAAATTATTCACTAAGTAAGGAAACAGATGATGAGAATGTGGAAGATCTTCAAAGTAATTAACTTTTAATTTACATTCCTGAAAAGGCTGTCTCCTTATTTTCCAATTGGAACCAGACTCTCCAATCTTCAGAAATTACATTGCAACATTTCAACAAGTTAAAGAAACACGATATTAAATATCTGGGCAAAATATGTGGCTCTGCTGCAAGTCTCAAGCTGTATGTCACTAACTGTGCTGGTACCACAGGAACACTGAATGAAGTCCTTGAAATCTGTGAAATCTTAAAAGGTTTTTAACGTGGAATCCACACCTCTTGGTGTGGGAGATGAGCAACAGATCACAACAACGACAAACCTGAAAACCTAATGTAGCAAAGATCTGCAAAGTGAAAAATCTAGAAGCTACAGTATCTACTGGTAGTAAATGAGATTTCTTAGATAAATGTGGATGAGGAGGTAACTCAAAGTTGTTCCTGGCCACCTTGTGTATGGAAAATGCCTGGTTTTGAAAAGTTTGAGAAATGTTACATTGCTAGAATGCATTTCTGTATTCATGGTGAAAGTAACTGCAATCTACTTCGTTGTGTAAATTTACTTTTATTCTTTAGTTGTGTAGGTCTGGCCTTTTAATCTCTGTAAATTGTAATTTAGTTACATTCTTTACATATTCTTTAATTATGTTCTAGCTACGCAAAGGCCTCTGAATTCTTGTAAGTTTTAATTCCATCATATACTTGATTCTAGGTACAAAATATATTTTAAAGAACCCTAGTTTTTAATATAATACGAGAAGGAAGAAAAATCTTAATGACTCTGGTGCAAATCATCCACTGTAAATGAGATAACATCTGTAAGGTAGCCAGACTTTTGAAGTGCCATGGCATATAGCATACTATCACTTTAATCTACTTTTCACAATAGATGCATATCTTTTTGGCAACCAAATGAGAATTTTGTAGCCTAACTTAGTCCTGTAACATTGGAAAAAAAAAATTCTCTCACTGCTTCCTACAGCCCTGTCATAAGTTCTGGGTAAGCATTTTTTGGAAGAAGTGTAGTGCTGATGTTAATACACATATGATGGAAAATATGCATTTTGAATGCATATTTTAATGACTTTGATAAATTATTCCAGTAATTCATTAAATGCTTCTAGCTTGAATAATTGTTTTCTCTTAAAATTACAATGGCATAATAAAGAGGAGTGTAGTAGCTATAGTGTAGTATGCTCCAGATGTGCTCTAGGTGAAAGATGCTGCAGTTAGGATGAGGGACATGTATTTCCTTTCACTGTGAATCACACACATACAGGCTTCTTCAACACTATCACTAGATCAGGGCACTAATGGAAGGTTTGTGCATCTACTGCTGCATTGTACTCTGAGATTTCATTGTTCGAGCTGTCCTGGAACGTGTCTTGTCTTGTAAAATGTGGGCAAGTATTGATGATCCCAGATCTCAGAGATGTG